GTTGCTGGTTGGTAGGAACAGTAACTTTCAGGCAGATTTGTTACATGGGAACACATGCTGAAAAGATGACTTCTGGGCTCCTTCTCTCAAAGCAGCAAGACCTCGCGTGACAAGATCCAGCTTCAGGAAAGCAGGGAGAATGTCCATTTATTGTATTTTCAAAAAAGCATGTAATTAGTACTGAGTATAACAAACAAAATGTATATATAAGCCAAATATATGAGTCCCTTGGCTCTTGCAATCACACTGATCATGTATTTTCTACTAAGTGGCTGTTTAATGTTCATAAGAACTGTAGCTTACTTACAGCAATACTTCTATGGTGCTATTTAAAAATATCCAATTATACACGGGAATGAAATTTTCATGCCTCTTAGTATTTCTACTGGCAAATACATTTGGATTTTCATAAGTATTTCTGAATTTCATGCCAGGACTTTTAAAGCTGGAATTTACACGCGATTCAGTCCCCCACATACATATGACAAGAAAGCAACTTATTAATAAGGCCATACTTCACAGGAAATGGTTTGTGTGGCCTAATTTCAGGGATTTTCTAACTATTCTTCTCTGCTATGAAAACCAGACACTATTCAAGGATTCAGCATTCAGCTCACATGTGGTGCCAAATATCCATAAAGAGCTGATAACAATGAATAATCAGTAAAATGGAAAATTATGACCTAGGTAAGGAAATGATTTTTTTTGCCTTTATTAGGATTATAATATAGTAACTGCAAATTAAGTGACTACTGGGAGATGATTTAATTTAGCTGTGCCTCCCATTCCTCATGTAAAATAATACATTTGAGGTGATTATTAAGATCTTTTTAATTACTTTTTGTTTTTTAAGGTTTCTCTTTTTATTAGCAATGTTGTGATAATTACATTCACCCTGGGTAACGGGTCCCACACTTCACCTTAATCGTTTTTCCTTCCTCTTCTCTCTCCCATCCCTTCCAGCCCCTGGATCCTTTTCGCATCTCCACAGAGTCTACCTCCCTATTTCCTATCATCTTTTTTTTTTTTTTTTTGTACTTGAAATTATTTGTATTTTGGGTTTTTCGTATAAGAGACATCAGCAGTACTTAGCCTTCCGTGTCTGATTTGTTTCACTGAGTCTTACAGTGTCAAGGTGCAGTCACCTTCCTACCGGTGACTCAAATTTATCCATCTTTATGGCCAAGTAGTTCTCTGCTCTGTTTATGGACCACACTTTCTTTCTCTGTTTATCCGCTGGTGGTTCTACAGGCCGCGTCCAGGATTTAGCTACTGTACTGCTATAAACACAGTGTGTGTGGACCTCGTAATATGATATCTTTAATTCTTCAGGGACGATACCTGTACAAGGGACAGCTGGGTCAGACTCTCTGTTTTTACTGTTTTGAGGAGCTTCCAGGCTGACTCCCACAGTGGTCATGCTACTTTACACCTCACCAACAATGGAGGATTCCTTTCTCCTCAAAACCTCACCAGCATTTTTCTTTTATTCTTTTCTTTTCTTTTTTTTTTGGTGGAACTAGGGATGGAACTCAGGCCCTTTTCTGAGCCATCTCCCCAGTCCATTTTTCTTTTATTCTAGGGGTCTGTAAATGTGTGCTAAAGAAGCATGCAGGTTTTGTCATTTTTCCAGTGAGAACACATTTTTAATATATTCACAGTACCTAATAAAAATAGCAGTCAAAATGTAAACATCGGTAGGAAACAGAATTTTCAACAGTCAGCCACAATATTGTCTGGAGACAAATCAGTGGAAGATACGAACTTCTTAGTGAACAGCAAGAGAAATCATCACACAGAACCTCACAGCAAACCCTTAGTTCTGCGGATCTGTCAGGGCAGCCTTGTTGGGTACAGAGCACCAACTCTGCATGATGAATGGAATCGTTATGGACAGCAAACATGGACTAATAAACACACAAAATCTATGACAGTTCATTCTGCATGACATTGTACCCTACCATAGCTTACCAGGAGCCATAAGATGTTTTTAATGAGATTGGAAAAAAAAAAAAAAAAAGAAACCCAGAAAGACAAAACTAAACCACCTAGTCCAAGGACGCTGGCTCCTCTGTAGGGGCAGTGGGCAAAAGCTGGTTACTAAATACTGTGGAAAACTGTGGAGATGTTTGCTCTACTATTTCAGAAAAAGAAACTGAATTATTTGATGGTATGGCTTATGAATTCCATTTAAAGAAGGTTCACTGAAAAGAGATTAGCAAATAATTTTCTCCTCATTTTTGCCATACCTGTCCATGCTTCTAATAGTGACAATTTATGAGTGGTGGCACACAGGGCACAGGCACAAGGACAAACAACCAAGCAGCACTAGCATGGAGTAGAAAGTCACAACTGTGTGGGCAAAAAGTAGGACTCCCTCAAATTCAAGTCCAGTAACTGTAACTCCATAAATAATTACTTTGTGGAGAGCAATCTTTCCGTGGCCTAGCTCTCCGAGCTGGGTTTACTTTGAAAACCGAAACATGCAAATCAGAGGGGTCTGTATAGAATGTACACAGGAAACAACCCAGCCCCTTCTGGCACACTGGTGGTCTTTCTTAGATTTCTAAAAAGCGTAGTAAAGGTTGCCATGATTAAGAAAAATATAGCCAGGGACATAGCTCAGTGGCACAGCACCTGCTTGGCAAGTACACGGTCATGAGTTCAGTTCCTGGTACAAACAAAAAACAACTGTATCTATCTCTATCTCTATCACGTCAACCATTCCTGACTCAAAATGCATGGCTTCAAATGAAGACCAGCTCCCAAGTTTTGTGACTAGAATTTGTCTTCCCACAGTAAATTACACAAAGCAACTAGTGCTTTTAACTAAGCTTATATAAAGTGGGATTTGTGGCAAATTTTATCTGCTTTTTTTTTTTTTTTTTGAGCCAGGGTCTCACGTAGTTCAGGCTGGCCTTGAGCTCACTTTGTAGCTGAGGCTGGTCTTGAACTCACAAGGATCCTCCTGCCTCTGCCTCCTGAGTGTTGGGATCACAGGCATGCACCACCATGCCCAGCATCTAGCACTCTTGAGAAACAAGACAGATTTTTATAAAGTTTATCTCCTTTTTCCTCCGAACTTTCCCTTTATCGCTCTTCAGCCCACGGTAGCTACAGCTGTTTCTGTGGTAAGGAACCCAGCCTCATCCCAAACACAGGCTGTTAAAGGAAGAAGGTTCTGGAAAATATCTTTTCATCTTGCATTTTCAGGCATAACTTTGGGAAATTTAATCTACAGACCTTTGTTGAACTAAAATGTTGATGTGTGAAGAAATAAGGTGCTTAAATTTCATTATTAGCTTTGGAAATATGCATTTAAAGTAATTCACAATGAGGAAATACATTCATAACATTTTCTTACTTTACTTGAGCAGGTTGTCCAGTGTCTTCATCAATAACTTGAAATTTTCCAATTGACTGGCTTAGGCTTGATACATCCATTCCTTCACTAGCGCGGACTGAAACTGTGCTGCTTTTGAAATTAATGCCTTCCTTCACATTTTTCACCTTTACTTTGATAGGAATGGGTGTAGGCTTATACTTATTCCTAATGGATTTGTGAAAAGCCGCTTTATTAGTGACAATAATACTGAAGTCAAGATTCTTCATTGTTTCATAATCCACTTCCTAGAAAGGCAAAATCAAAGAGGAGTCTTAGTGACTGTGCCCGCGTGTGCACACACACACACATACACACATTTTTTAATGTTAAATACAACAATTTGATGAATGGATATTCCAACTCTCATGGATATCAAGCAATTTAAAATGTTCTACCAATAATTTGGATATTCATAATTGTTAAAGATGCTTGAGGAGAGTCCTAATTTATTTTTATCAAGGTCAAAATTGTTTTCAAAAGTATACATTTTTGTCTTAACATGCATGCCACAGTGCAATAGGGGACATGAAATTGGCAATTAAAATGTGGCCCATGGATTTGCACTGCTACCTCTGTTCCCTAAAGGAGATTTGCACTGCTTATTAACATATTCAAAAACTGAGAATTTTGATAGTGAAAACAAAAACAAACCTCAGGGATATTCAAACATATTTAAACAAAACACCTCGTCCTTCCTTTTGTAGCAGGCATTGATTAAAATCTGTTTTGCTGCTAACCCTAAAAGATATTAGGTTCTTTTCGAATAGTTCTGTGAACCGTGATATTGATCACGCCTATTTGATACAAGCCAGTTACCACTGTACACGTATTTTATTTTATTTATTTTTTTTTGTTAATTAGCCTATTTTATTCACTTACATATTGTGAATGTCATTCCATATTAACCTTCACTTACAATATTGAGTAGCTTGTACACGTATTTTAGCTTCAATGTTTCCACTTCCTTTTATAAGCATTTCTATAGTATTTTATATTTGCATCTAATTAACTTGGCCATTCTGTCCCTAGGCATTTGGGTATTTGCAAGTTACAAATAAAATATTGGCCTGAACATTTTTATACAACTTACTTTTCCTCTGTTGACCTGTATCCTATTAGTGAAACGATGACCTAGCCACACTTCAGCATTCGGTCCTGTGCTTCTATTGCTCTGCATTTCCAACGCTCCTGACCATTTAGCTGGATGGATCGTTCTTGCTTGTTTCTTCAACATAAGACTAAATACACTACATGTGTTCACATGAACTACAGCAAAGCTGTTCATCTGTCTCACATATGATTTACCATGGATTTTGTTTTTCCTTCTATACAGTTCTGAATCAACAACCACTTCTTCTGCCTGCCTTTAAATATGGTGTCGGGACCAGGGCATGACAGAGCAGCTAGAGAAATTAAGCTCTTTGTGACTGTAAGCCCACAATGACAGCGCCTGTCAACTGTTCCTGCGGCTGGCACACCTGCCTTGGTGCTGCCAACTGGATGAGGACTAACGTCTTCCAGCCAGAAATCACTGGCGCTCACAGGCGAAGACTGCGGGAGAAGGTGTGCTGGGTTCTGGGGCCATGAACACTGTTTCTTAGTACTTGTCATAAACGACCACAGTGCTCCAAAGAGAAGGAAAATATTTCAGTATCCAGAACACTAGATGAGGACAAACACTTTCTTTCTTTCTTTCTTTCTTTCTTTCTTTCTTTCTTTCTTTTTTTTTTTATAACTCTACTAAAGTTTTGCTATTTCCATTTTCGCTATTTTTCAATAGCATTAGAAAGAATAGCACTAAATTTGGTAATCCGTAGTCAAAGCAATTGATATTTCTCTTGTGATGACCTACTGTCCCTATTACTATGTTTTATAACCTCTGTTCACTTCCTTTATCTTATTTTGAGAACTTCATTGAGGTACAGTTTAGGTGCAATAAAATCTACACATTTTATGTTTACAGTGTGATGACTTTTAGTATTTGCAATCCCAACCAGTTTATTTTAGAATACATCACTCCAAACAGTTCCTCCATGCAAATCTGTGGTCCACCCCCTCACATGCGCAGCCCTAGACAACCGCTGCTCTGTTCTTTATCTCCACTGTGTGTGTTTTCTAGAATTATTCCATAAATGCAATCTTACACATGGAATTTTATATCTGCTTTCTTGCATACAGCATAAATGCTTCTGATGTTGGTCCATGTTAGCAGAGTTTTACTATTATGAATAATACAGCTATGAACATTTGTTATAAATCTTCATATAAGCCTGTTTTTGGGGGGTGAATACTTAAGAATAAAATTGCTGGATCATAGGGTAACTGCATTACATTTAAATTTAAAAAAAAAATTCTTCCAAACTGGCTATGTCATTTTTTATTTTCACAGCTATACAGAAAGGTCCCAGGGTCTTTATACTCTTGCCAATACTTGGTGGTGTCAACCTCTTTGGCTGTGATGGACTGAATGTTTGTATTCCTATAAAATTCATATGCTGAACTCTCAACCTCAAAATGATGATCTAGAGAAGCGGCCGTTGGGAGGTGTTAGCACTCAGGAATGGAACTTATACTCTTCCTAAGAGGCCTCTGGACTCCACCAGCATCATACATGGTGTGAAAATACAGCAGAAGCCACTGACTGTGAGCCTGAAAACGGCTCTCACTGAGTCTGCTGAGGTCTTTAACTCCCAGGCCTCAAGAACCGTAAGAAATGCATTTCTCTTGTTTATGGGGTACACCATTGAGTATTTTGTTACAGCAGCCCAAACAGACTAAGATGCTGATTTTAGCCATCTTAGTAGTTTTTTTTTTTTTTTTTTGGGGGGGGGTGATAACAGGGATTGAACTCAGGACCTTGTGCTTGCCAGGCAAGCACTTATTCCACTGATCTATCTCCTTGGCCCCTCTTAGTTTTTATGCTTTTATATTATACTTTCTCCCGTGACAAATGGCACTGGTCATTTGTCACATCGACTATTTCTGTATCTTCTTTAACTTCTTTTCAATGCTATCTGATCACTGTCCTTAAAATTTGGAAGCAACTCTTCACATAACTTAGACACGCTTTACACATCTGTTGTGTCCATGGTAATAGAATTATCTCCTATTTTTCTTCCACTACTCTTGGCAGAGATAACTATTTCTTTTTCTGTGGCTTATCACAGTTGACTGAAAACTGCTCCCCGCACCCGATCGCTCATCGGCACACGGCTGTTGCTTCTCCTGCATTTTACTGCATTTGTATCTCAAACATCTGACATGGTTTTCCCTAAACTAAAGATTATAAATTACGCTTATTTCCACATAAGCAGATGAATTATTTTGTCTCTGATGACATCCATTTTTTCAATAATCATAAAACATGTAAAATTATTCACTTTCCCTCAAAGTAGTTTAAATGACTAGTAGCCTAGGAATAAGTGATGCTCAAAATCATTACTATGAAACTTCAAGGTAATTATTTTCTTTTCTGTTACACATTTTCCTTCTGTTAGACTTTACCTAGACTTTCATAAATTAAGTGTAAAAAAGTTTGATAATTTCTAGAATCATTTTCTGTATAATTTAAAGAGATAGTATTTTGAAAGCTGTAGCTTTGCATTTTATTTTTAAATTTGGTAAGGCAATTACCTTGTAATATTTGTTTGAAAAGTTCTACAGGATTATAAGATCTAAATGTATAAGAACCTTACACTTAATATGATTTAATTCAATTTTTTCTTCATCAATTCAATGACATATAAAATTAGATTACTGTTTCTAAAATGCAGCTCTCACACCATTTATGTTAGAATCACAGGTGGATTTTTGCCTAAAAGACAAGATCTTGAGTCAGACCTAGTTAGACTTCCTGATGACAGGGCTCAGGAATATGTATTTTTTGGCATAAAGCTTTAGGGCGTCATTCTTCTTAGGCACCTTTAAACGTCAATTTACCACAGCTTTGATTTTTAGTGTTATTAGCAGGGTTTAGCTTTGGTGTTATGCAGATACATAAGCACTGGTAAATAAAGGGTACTCAACAGAGAGCCAGGCCAGGTATGGGCAGCAAGCAGACCGGAAGTGCACTAAGCAAGGTTGCTGGTACCACGTAGTCTGGCTAGGATCAGAGTTCCAGGATCTATATTTAACCTACAGTGTGACCATGTGCTAACCAAACGGCTCACATTTCAAACAATGAGAGTCCTGGTTGGGTGTGTAAAACACTTATGTTTGGGCTCAACATCTGTTAGCTCTTCTCCGGCATCAACCTGTCACACCTACCTTGAGCAGTCAAGACTTACCTTGACGAGGGTCACAATCCCTTCATTAGTTTGAGTATCAGTTTCTATGTGGAAATAACCCCCTTCGTTTCCTGAGGCAAACGTGAAATTGGCCAACCAATTATCAGAGCCGACTTCATCAGCATCCGTCACTTTTATGCGCATAACTTCCACATTGACTTGATTTTCTTCAACAGTCCCTTCATACTGCGAAATATGAACATGTGAGTTTTAAAAAATGTTAATGCAATACACATTTCAAGGATGAGTAAGTAAATACAATTACCATAAAAGTAAGTTACCATTTCATTTGCCACTACAGGTATGTTGTCATTGACGTCCAGGATACGAATCTGAACTTGAGCTTGGTGCACTGGCTTGTCTGTTACTTGTCCATCACCATCTCTTGCTTCCACTGTCAAAGAGTAGCTGCTGTATTCCTGCAGAGCAACAGAAAACCCCACTGGGGTGAAAACGAATCTTCCCCAAAGCTGCCTTTCTAACTTTAGTTTGCCTTAATATTAGAAAATGGACTAGAATAATTTCATTCATAAATAACTCCCAGGACCTGCTGTTTTAGGTATAAATATGCAATTTGTTTTCAATCTCAGCTTTGCAAAAGGGCAGAAGAACCTCAGGGAGTTACTGATAAGCTCTTAAATTTGTCACTGGTGCCATTCTCACATGGTGCTCTTTAGAATCATCTGCACGAAGGGGCGCTGCTCAAAATGTGGGGTGTTTATGTTGGACGTGAAGGCAAGACAGCAGGAATTTGTTTTTTCTGCCCCACATTTTATTCTCAGCTAAATGCTAAGCCAGAAAATCCTGGTCCTAAGAATTTGGGCCAGTGAATGCAAGGGGTCCAGATTCCCCAGAGTCAGGCCTCCTGGGGAACACAGCGTCCTCCAGATCGCATGTCCCTCGGCTGTCACTCACGAGTGCTCACTCCAAAGGGCGCCCTTCTTCTCCGCGGTCCCTGTACCACAGCTCTGTTCAAGGTGACCAAGAGTGACTGACTCTTCAAGGTGTGAGGAGCGTGGGTGTGGCAGGGGCTCAGCGCAGAGGTTGGCCAGCTGCCCGGCTACAATCCCAACAGCTTGGAATCTCACTAGCCATGTTGGACACACGCATAATCCCTTCAGCGCCTGGTTTCCTTACATGTAAGATGGGGATAATAATTGGATCCGCTCGCAGGGCTTCTATGTGGATTTCGTGAGTTAATCTGGGTAAGGGGCTTAGGACGGCACCTGGGACATGGTAAATGCACAGAAAGTGACAGCTGCTGTTACTGGGTAAATCTCCTGCACTTCAGAGAGCCTTGTTAAAAATCCCACAGCTGACTCACAGTAATTCCTTTCTCATTCTAACTTTATGTGGAAAGTTGTGGAGCAGAATTGTAGGAATAATAGGTCATATTTTTAACTTTCATGAAACTCCAACAGCAGTGTTGGCCACAATCCTTCCCATCGGAGCAGAGTGAGTTTTCCAAGTATGCCACAACGCACGAGTGGCGATTTGTACCTCACGACAGCCCTGCATCCTTGAACATTTTATTCTCATACACTCATGTATGTAGTATTTAAAACATCTTCTAGCACTCATTTTACCATAAAATTTTGAATTAGAACTAAAAAAGTGAAATATTTAGGAGAACAATCTTTCCAGAAAACCCACCTAATTTTTTTTTTTAATTACAGGTTTTGAAACAATATTTTTCCTCTATGAAAGTTTTAACACCTGAATTAGAACCCTGTCACCTGTCCCCAACCTCGACCCCTCTCACCACCACCCTGCTCCCTGCCTACGAATTAGTGGTGGAAGAGACTTCTGATGACTCCACCAAGAGGAATGAGGCTTTAGGCCTCGTGGAGAAGGACTCGAATGGTACTGTCTTTACGTAATTTAAAAGTTTGGAATAGCAACCCTCTAAAAAGAAAAAAAAAATTAATTTTAAACAAGTGTATTTGATGCAGAATATACAATATTATCATCTCAACAGATAATCAATATAAAATGAAGATGCTATTCTGTATCTCTTCCTAATTGAGTGGATTTTTTAAATAGCTCAGTATGCACACAGCACATCTCATTTCAACTGTGGGCACATCACCAACCACTACCATAGTGGAGAGGACATCTGTTTTTTTAAGAGTATTTTTTTATTTTTTATTTTATTTTTTAATTAATTTTATTGAGAAACAAATAGCAATAAGACAGTTTCAAAACCGATTAGTAGGACAGTTTCAGTAATCAATACACTGCATATTGTTGTCTTCGTAGTGGTTATTCATAGTACAAGATGCCTGACATCCTTTTTCTGAATTGATTTTTTGTTTGGGGGGGGCGGGTACTAGGAATTGAATTCAGGACCTCATACTTGCCAGGCAGACGCTGTGCCACTGAGCCACATCCCCAGCCTTACACTCTTGTTAAAGGAGGACGATTCTTATATTAGGAATGAGGAATATAGAACAAAAGAAATTTAGAAAAGAACAATAGAGGGCCAGGGAGATAGCCTGGTGGTCCAAGAGTACCTGCAAGCTCAAGGACCCGGGTTCAATCTCCAGTGCTGCATGCCATGCCGGCCGCTGAAACCGGGCGTGGTAGCAAATGCCTTTAATCCCTGCTCTGGGGAGGCTGAGACAGGAGGATCACTATGGGTCCAAGCTACATTGCAAGACTCTGCACTCAATCAATCAATCAATCAATCGATCTATCTTAAAAACAAGAGTAATCGAGAAAGAACTAGAAAGGATAGCAAGGACTATAAAAGATGGGTAACATGGAACATTAATTTACCTCTCTGTCCAAGGCAATACTGGTTGTATAAATCTCTCCTGTATCTTTATTTAGATAGAACACTGGAGAATATGCAGGCTCCTGAGATACAATTCTGTAGGAAATTTTAGAGTTCATAGTGTTGGGCTCATCTGCATCCTCTGCAGTGATTTTCATCACAAGTGTGTCTGGCACAGGAAAAGAGGGGTCCGAGTTAGGTACGCTTACACGGGGTATCATCTGATTTATAAGTTCACCAGTTCTCAACAGGATTTTGGGTACTTAACAAAATTATGCACTATTTTACCATGATCAAAACATTCCTGGATGAGGAAGTGCGTGCGAATGGAGCAGAGGAGGAGGAAACACGGGATGGGGGGGCAAGGCTGAGATTGGGGGAAGTTCTGCAACTGTTATAGGAACCTCACAAGATTGTTCCAGCAATGAATGCAGAGACATGTGGATGAGCTGATACACGGCCCCGATGCTCATTAAAATTTTATATATATATATATATATACACATATATATTACATATACACATATGCATAAATATATTTATTTATTTAATTTTTTTCTTCCTGTATTTAGGGCAGGGTCTACAGGGTACTCAGAGTACTACAGAGATTGGACTTGTAGTGATTCTCCTGTTTACAGCCTCCCAAGTGCTGGGATTACAGGTGCCTGCCACACGCCCAGTCTCAATCATATCTCAGCGTGTTCCAGGGGTGGGGCCAGCACGGCAGGCCCAGGGATTGAACCCCCTGGCCCCGGCATCTACCTAAGCAGGTGCTTTAATCTGTTAAGCTATTTGGTCAGCCTCTTTTAATTTTAGTACAGGGTCTACAGGATCTCACTATGAGTAGATCAGATTTGTAGTAATCCACCTATATTCAGCCTCCCAAACACTGGGATTACAAGCATGGGCCACCACGCCCAGTCTCAATTGCGTCTCAGCACGCCCCGTGGGTGGGGCCAGCAAGGCAGGTTGGGGATCGGATCCCGGCTGCTGCGCTCTGCCTAAGCAGGTGCTTTAATCCGCTGAGCTATTTGGCCTACTAGATGTTCGTTAAAATTAAAGACAAATCAGGAGACATACAGTTACTTTTCACGTTGATTAAAAAGAAATCTCTACTTCAAGCCCTATAAAGAGCAATGCACTGAATAACGTCAACAAAAGGGTGCCGTGGGAGCTATGTAAGTCAGAGGTCAGCGGCTGTGCCCCGCGGCCAACGGCCAGCCAGCCGCCTGTGTCAGTTACGTGCAGTTCTGCTGCCACAGAGCCACACCCACTTACTTCCACAGCCTGTCTCCCGCGGGCGGGCGGCTGCTATGGAGGCCCACCTGTCCTATCAATGCACTACCTTTCTGAGGGGCAGAAAGATAATCTTTAAAGTCATCTGAACTTATGATGAGGAAAGCAGTTGGGCCATTATCTACAGCAACAGGGCCATGATCATTTGTCCTGCAAGTTAATACTCCACAGGCCAAATGGGATTTACACAATGGCGATAAGATGACCTTGGTTATTCATTCATAAAAAAAAACACTCTTACGTGCTGCACTCAGTTCTTCCACAGACCCAACGAAGACTTCCTGGGTGAACACAGGCTCGTTGTCATTGACATCGAGAACCCTGATGCGGAGCTCTAGTGGCTTCTCTAGGTTGTTTCCTCTGGAATCCATAGCATACGCCGTTAGCTGAAATCATGACACAGACAATAAATGAGACTTGTTTAAAGCTAAGATAACTGAACTGCTATTGGACAAAAGAATCACAGCCATTACTAAGGAAAAATGGCAAATAAATGTAAAAGTGTTCTTCTTACCACATAAAACGGTATTTCTTCCCGATCCAGAATGCTGGTAACATTCAATTCTCCATTGTCTTTATTAAAGACAAATATACCAAAAGGAGGCTCTGTAATCCCTTTTCCAGTGTATCTGTATGTAACTTTTATTCCTCTTTCTTCTGCAATATCAGAATGTATCTAACATAAAAAAAACAGAAGATTGAGTTAAGTTCTTTGTAATCGGTGTGTAAATATTTTTAACGGCCATTACCTTGGGAAGCCGTCACAGTGCTAGTAGAAGGGAGGTGGAACAACATGTGTGCTGGTGCCCTGGGTTCTCGTCCTGTCTCTACACACTGGGGTGAGATTCTGAGTCAGCCACTCAACCTCTCTCACCGCAGCTGTTGGAGACCAGCTTCCAAGATAAACATGAAATGACCAGGGCTGTACACTCCCTTGAGGACAAACTCCAAACACCTAATGAGCCCAAAAGACATCTGTGGGGGTGACCTAGAACTCCAGCTCCATCATTTCCTAGAAAAAGTCTCTGTTCTTTCCACGAGCCTTGGTGCGTGACTTGTCTTCGCCACTGGATCACCATTACTTAAGCAACGATGTTTGTATCCTATCCTATTGGTTAATCATAGCTGTAACTCATACCGATGAAGTAGGGTTCTGGGGTAACCCATTCGGGCCCCCTCTTGTTCCTCTGACAATCCTCTTTCTATCCACTTAACACAACTTCCTACTCCTAATCTCTGCTGTTAAAACTCTTTAATTTTTAGAGAACAGGAACTCGGCGTATTAGACATCTTACAGGCTGGGAGTTATAGTATTTCCCTTATGTTGTACTGGAGGATCTGATATTGCCTCTGCAACAGTGTGGTAAGACATCTTCCAGACAAGGATTTAAATAGGCTACCTCCGTGCTTGGAAAGACAGAGCAACTCAGTAGTGCTTCTCACTTTCTGAAATCATCTTTATTCTCTATCAACAATTTTATTCCTAGCTCTCATTCTTTACTGGTAAATTTCTCCCTGGGACTCCCTACTGGTTCCTGCATTTCTCCTTCATATATCACTGAGCAACCAGGGAATGGCAGATGGGTCTGCCAGCCTCTGCCCCCAGCCCTACTCCTGAGTGTAGCGAGGAACTCGGGGTGGTCATTCTGCAGAGCCTCCGCTGGCCGGCCCTGTTTTCCTGCCGAGTACACTGAATACATGTACATGTATGGACCTGTATGTTTACACAGAAACAGTATGAGAAGGCCATCATATGTCTTTATGTACTGAGCATATACTCCTACTTTGAATACAAAAACTGTGTGGACAGAGCTGGCAGTTCATACACACATACGTATGCAAGCAAGAGTACATACACATCTATACACATACGGTTTTGTAAGGCTTGGAAAATGCTAAAGCGAGGACAGCATTACTTTTAGGTAGGGAACGTGGGAAGCTAGGGAAAAATTTAGTAAGATCTTTGGCTTTTTATTTAAATTTTACTCTTAGCCTATATAATTAAAAACAGTTAAGATCAGCCAACACTTACTATACCATTAAGAATCAGTGCATTTTATGAACTCCGATTAAAAGATGGTATGAATGTCTCAGATATGAAACAACCAAGCCAAAACAAAACCAAAATGCAGCAGCTTGAATACCTACTATTATGTGAATCCATACTTAAGGAGTGTGGATTTTAGGGAGGCATTTCAATGCCTTCTATGAAAGAAACACACTGCTAGAAAGTAAAATTGTCTTCTGTTCTGCAGCAGTGCAGCCCTTCACACCTGACCTTGATGAGACCAGGAAGGGGAAGGTAAGCGTAGATGTGACTAAGACTGCAGGACACAAAGGTGTACAGGCATCTGCCACACACAAGCTTCAAGCAGGCAGGACCTGCGTACCCCGAGGAGGCAGCTTGGGCCTCATGCACCCTCTACTGATAGGGACAGACAAGTGGGGAGCTGAGGGGACCACCCCCTAGAGGCTAAGAGGACAGAAAGAAATAGGGTGAGGCCGAAACGTGAAGCGGACACTTGAGCAGAGGAAGCCTGATGATGCCCCAGGACCTCTGCGGAATAGCTTCAGGGTGGGGGAACAACAACTGCACAGGGAACGTGGCTGCACTGAGCTGTGTCAGTGTGGGGACGCAATGGTGTGGGCGATGCGAAGCGACAGGCACTGAGGATGGAGAGCAGGCCAAGGACACCGAGTCCTGTAGGCTCTCAGACTGGAGAGGGGCTCCTCCTCCTACCACACCCGGGAGCTCCTCCGCAGCCCCATTAAGAGCTGAGGAAGAGGGGCACGATTTAGGTGTCTTTTTGCAAGTTTGCTCTAGGTCGTTTCTGGGGATGGCCGATATTGGGGTGGGCTGGGAGTGACCACACAGGAGACAGTGGGACAGCGCTGCTGTGGAGGGCAGGTGATGTCTGGGATGATGGGGGTGGCAGCAGGGAGGAACGGAAGTGGGCAGTGTGGAACAGAACCTGAAGTACTGGCTACACTGCTGGTGTGGAAATCTGAATAGCGTGATAGTGCCACTTACAGAAAAGGGTAGAACTTAAGGAGAGCAGCGGTAGGGGGGGAAATACCAAGGTCCAGGTCTGCATTTGCCAACTTTGAGGTACACAGTACTGGGACGATCACATCACCCATGAAAAAACCAGACTTCTGCGAGTAGAGAAGCAGCGAGTAAGTTATTAAGCCGGAACAACAGGCATAAATTAACTGTCTGCTCACCCTACCTCTTAGATGTGAGTTCTTTCCATTTTGCAAACCACTCTTTAATGCTAATCCACTCTATTGATTACTGTAACATTCTGTGTTAAACTAAGATACAACTAATGCCAGATTCCTTCCTTCCGTACTGAATCAAAACCTAAAGTTATGTGCATTTTTAGCAATGAGGCACCCTCTTCCGGAATGGGAGTGAAGAATTTAGGGTTGGCACTTTCCACTAATAAGCTCTGCTAAGTTTCAACTGTACCCTAAATGTGTGCATGACTGTGTGTATCAGTAATCATATCATCGTCCTTTAATTTAAAGAGGACACAGAAATCCTCCCGAGCACAGCTGCAGTCGCACGCATGTGCCCTGTCCCTGCCCAGAAGGTACCTTGGCGATGGGATTCTTCCTGGACAGATCCTCTCCCTCCCGCAGAGACACGGGGGCCGTGATCCAGGCCCGCTTCTGCCGCACCAGGTGAGAGCGCCTCGGAAGCAGCTTGCTTTCACTTCTTGCATTTAAGGCCTACGACAACGAAATATTGCCAAAAACTTATTAAGAGTTACAAAGCTTAGCATGATACTCTGTAATATAGTAATCTTTAAAAATAGTGCAACTTTTTTTTTTTTTTTTAATGTATTTAGTACAGGGTCCACAGGGTCTCACTCTGTAGATCGGACTCATAGTGATCCTTCTGTTTTCAGCCTCCCAAGTGCTGGGATTACAGGCGCGCGCCACCACTCACGCCCAGTCTCAATCACTGGCACGGCATGCTGGGGATCGAACCCTGGCCACTCAGCTCTGCCGAAGCAGGTGCTTTAGTTCCGCTGAGCTATCTGGCTGGCCTTGTAGTGCAACTTTGAAGACACATTTGGTACTTCTGGATAGGCTTCATTTGCAAAGAGGACATGTGCATACAAGCCAGCTTTGCAAGCATCCACGAGATTGTATCAAAATCTATAAAGTAGAAAGGCTTTATTCTTCATAGTAAGAAAAGATTTCCCAGAGTGAAGAGCTCAAAAGGCTGAAGGGTTATTTAGTGGTCTTAAGATTGACAAATTAGATATAACAAACTATGTCAGAACATTTTTCTACTACTTGCTAAAAATAACGCTTTACTTATCTGTAATGATTTATGGTAAAAAATTTTTTTACTAATTTGGGCATGACGGCATATGCCTATAATTCATGTAGTCTGGGAGTCTGAGGCAAGAAGATCACAAGCTTGAGCCCAGTCAGAGCAATTCATCAATTCAGCAAGACCCTGTCTCAGAATAAAAAAAAGTAAAACGGTCTGGAGATGTACCTCATTGCAGAGGCCCTGGGTTCAAACCCCAGTACCATAGAAACAAAACACAAAACAAAAGTCTCTATGTTTTAAGACTAAATTTTGGTACACTGTGGACACAAGTCTAACTGACATGATCCGCTGCCCGTTAACGAGTTTATTGCTTTCCACGCTGAGTCAAGTGTGACATTTCCCTTTGCAACTTCAGGTGGAAAACAATTCTGCAAATTCTCACTTGGGTTTTATAGGGAAGAATATACCTTATCCAAAGAAGATTGCAGGATAGGCGACCCTCCCATATGATCAGACATATTTATTGCATGAGGTTTTTCTTAGCATTTGACTTGTTTTATTGCTGCCCATAAATAGGGATTTTGAAATTTTTGAAGTATATGCACTGGTTATCATTAGATCACTGATTTTTCTGGGTTTATATTTGAATATTTTTTAACTTAAAAATATAAAGTAAGTGACAAAACATTACAAATGATAACAGTAAAACCTATGATGTTAAAAGGCAAATCTTGCTTCTTCACCTGTTTTTCACAGAGCAGCCATGGTTAACAACTTCATGAGAACTTTTTACGATCTTGCCTGCCTACACAGGCGCACACATGTGCGCGCACAGGGGCAGGTCCTTTTCCGGTAGAATGCTGCCTTCGGGGATACATGCTCTCTGCAGCTGCTGAATGGGAATGGTGCCGTCTCTAATCCCAATGATGGAAATAAGCCCCTTGCTTCCTTACCTCTAAGTGAAGTCCATTTCCAAAGGTAAAGCAGATCTGTAAAAGAAATATAAACAAATAAATAAAAGCAGATGTTTAGCAACCACTACCAACCTTTGCCAAAAGGAAACAAAACAGAATTTCTCTCTTGCCCTTGCCCGACAACCAGCGCTAACGGGAAGTATCTGCATTCTCCTTGGTCTATTTCCCTTCCTCCTGAAGAGACTAGTACCTTACAAAACAAAACAAAATACACATCAGAATAATATTTCTTGTGAAATGTCATTCACCTCCCAGGGTTTTCTTCTCATGTTCTCTGGGATTCACTCACTTTTCCGCGAGGCTGAGACTCCCCCACCAAATCCCACCATCCTTATGAGACTGTCCGTCCATCTGTCTGTCGGTCGCCCCCTGCCCCGTGTTCTGACCTCTCAGGACCTCTAGGTCCTCAGGCCCACGACTCTGCCCTGTGGTTCCTCAGAGGCCCTGTCACAATCTTGCTTCATCGTATCGTTGCACTACTCTCTGAGATGTGCTTAGGCTCCCTCTCACCAACAAACTCCTGTCTTGCTTTCTGAATTTTGCTGCGATTTCTTTACCGCCCATGAATCAATCCCCTGCTGGCTTCACGCTTTCCATAATGATTCACTTGGTCGCTCATTTCCGTCACTGCAGACCAAGGCACCACTGCCAGCCAGCCTAATGACAGAGAAGCCTTCACTTTCGGGACTCCCTGGCCCTCCTTCCTCACACACAGCTGACTACTGTCCACTGGCTCCCAACCTGTGCGGTAACACCTCAGCAGAAGGCCACGGTGCCGAAAGCACTCTACAAGCAGCCTCAAGCAGCTCTCCATAGGTGCTCCGGCCCCCCTCCGTAGCAGTGGGGCTCCTGTGAGGGTGAACATACGCTCCCATCTGCCCGGAGAGAGCAGGCTCACGCCTGCTGCAGGGTTCCATCTGTTAGCCTCCTTCTGATGTGCAAAAATGCATTCACGCAGACTCAAAGCGCAGCAATCCTGGCTTTGTCTCCTCTTATGCCTGCCACTGCTTTCCAAACTTCAGCACCTTCCTGTCATACCGCCCAACTGTATCTCTGGTCCTGCTCCTTCCTGGGCGATGGCTGCACACTCCTTCCCCTTTCTGCCAGGGGAGAAGAGCCCTGGCTCCTCTCTGAGGTTAGCTACTGGTCTTTGGGCTCTGCTTTAGGCTCTGCTAGCCATGCCCCACTTTCATCTTTTCTAGAACCTTGGTCTTTCCACTTTCAGATTTCTTCTCCACTATCTACTTTTTCTTCTGTATTTTAGGGAAGGGTCTACAGGGTGTTCAGGGTCGCACTACACAGATTGGACTCGTAGTGATTCTCCTGTTTACAGCCTCCCAAGAGCTGGGATTACAGGCACGCGCCACCACACCCAGTCTCAATTGCCATCTCAGTGCATCCTGGGGGCGGGGCTGGCATGGCAGGCCCAGGGATTGAACCCCCGGCCCCTGCGCCTGCTTGCAGGTGCTTTAATCCGCTGATCTATTTGGCCATCCCTTAAATGCTTTAAAAAACCTGTTCTTCATGGGGTTCATTCTTCTTGTGGACTTTTCTCAATGGTATGTGTTCTTGTCTCCCCAGTCTAAAAAGAAACTCCAGGTCCCAGTGGATGCCTGAACTGTTGGGGCAGATGGACCACCACGGCTAACTTTCTATCTTATGTCAGATACATTATTCTTCTTTTCTCTGTAGATTCCACCTAGCAATGGCCAGCCATGTCTCTAACCAAAGTTGTGCTCACTACATTCACTTATTTTCCAAGGTGCCAGGATATGAACGTGGGCACTTGGCAGCTGATGTCCAGGGTCAACAAGATCCAATACACATTTCCTTTTAGTTAAAGAGTAATTTAAATTGACTTTAAATAGAGGAACAATTTTAAATTTACAAAAATGATACAAAGATAAGATCATGACTAGAGAGAAAAAAAAATTCTCTCAGGCTTTCACAGAGAGCAAATTGTTCAAGCAATGGCCGTGACTCACCCAGATGGCTGACACTGACAAAGGATCTGCAAGGTGCTGTACACGGTTCCAGGGTAAATCCTGAGGGGATTTGACTGCCTTGTCAGATACAGAAGTTATATTTTTAGTAGGTCTTTCTTTAACTTGGTCTTAACCATTCAGTAGAAAAGTATAATCACAAGGTATAAAAGGTAATGCCATATTAATATACTGAGCTGTAAAAGGCTCAAGTCAACTTCTGACAATTGCCAGCTCTGCTGATAACTCACTACTATTATGGACTGTTGGACTATATTGGGTTATTTTGCTGAATTCAAGTACTTACAATATTTGAACTGGCATCAAGTATGAAAAGGGCTTTTATTTTTTTTGGTGGAACTGGGGATGGAACTCAGGCCCTTGTGCTTGCCAGGGAAGCGCTTATTCCACTGAGCCATTTCCCCAGCCCAAAAAGGGCCTTTAAAGATTTCTCCAAATACTGCTTATCTAACTGCAGTAGAACACCCCTCTCTGACAAAACCAAAAGAAAAAAAAAGGGGGGGGGATATGTAGGGAACCATGAAGCTAGGAAATCGATCAAGTATGTGTAGGTGGGACTTGGCCCAGGGCCTAAAGCAAACAAGCTACCTCAGTTCTGAGATGAACATCCTGTTTGATTAAGGTTAGCTATCAGTTGCTAGGCAACCTAGTATCATGTGTTACTAACTACACAAAAGTGTAAATAAAGGAGTTTTGTTGTGAAAAAAATATATGTATTTGTGTATACACAAGAGAATTAGGATATACAGCTACTTTCTCTTAGTTCATTGAGAATAAAAATTCGTACTAACTTTGTTTATTTTATTTTTTATTTTTGGCAGAACCGGGGATTGAACCCAGTCCCTTGGACTTGCCAGAGAAGCGCTTATTCCACTGAGCCATCTCCCTGGCCTCTTTTACTTTTTTTTTTTTTTTTTAATATTGTTTAGACAAGATATTATGTCTGCATCTCCTCTGAATAACTACTACGAAGACAACAATATGCAATGTATTAATTATTATAACTGTCCTACCAATCTGATTTGAAACTGTTTCATTGCTATTATTTTATCTTTCTTTTCTCATTAAATTGAATAAAAAAAAGATCACGAGCTCCCATATCCATTTTCCCCTCATGCTAACTAACACTTTACGTCACTAACTCAGAATTAAGAGAGCAGTAACATTTAATCAGTGCAGCTGGAGAAGCATTTGCAGCTTCTCCCGGGCAGTTACTATTTTCTTTTTTCCCTACTCTACCCTTGGTGACTGAGTCAACTCAGTGTAGCTCCTTCTGGGAGGGGATGGGAGAGGAGAAGAAAACAGTTAAGTCCTATCTCCAATGAGGACATCCACACATACTCAAAATTCTTTGGCAAGAAAAATTTGTCTTCTCCATTTATTTAAAATTCAATGACTTCTATCCACATAGGCCCATATGCATTTATTTTGTTCTGTGGCTTAAAACCCAGTACTATTTTAGTTATTTAGCTCTTCCAACCTTTCAGGGTTGGCTGCTGGATGACTGCACAGGTTAGACTCTGTCCTGGGCATGTTCTCATTTTTTTGTGTTGTGTTCTCACGTTCCCGCATCGTATGCTGTGCTGGGTTCTTCTGGTATTTCTCCTGTCCCAGGCTAAGAACCAATCATTTCTCCAAGGAGCCCTGGTTGCTGAGACTGAGAAATGACATATAAAACCCAAGACCCGGAGACAGGTGTAGCACACATGTTATAAAATTATTTCTCTTTTTAGCCATTTCCAGATCAGAGGTTTTTTTTTTTTTTTTTTTTCTTTTTAAACTCCCTTCCTTCCTTGAACTCACTATATATTCCATACTGGCCTCAAACTTGGGCAATCTTCTGCCTCAGCCTCCTGAGTCCTGGGATACAGGTGTGCCACCATGCCTGGCCCAGGTAAGAACTTTTCTTAACTTTGTTATTACTGTTAGAGACTCTGCTTTAATCTGCGAAGTGGTATCACCTGGTTGGAAAATATGTAGTATTGAAAACTGTCAGATTTAGAGTTAAGTCTTGATTCTGCCAAACAAGCTGCTTTAGTTCAAGTTTTCTGATCTGGAACCTGAGAATGATGGTGGTAGTACCTACCATGGTGGGCGTCTTCAGGCGTGCAGCTAACTGCCACGCGTATCTCCAGAGGGCACAGAAGCCCATTTTGTGTGGGTATGAGGTAGAGTCTGCCCTGTTCATGGAGCCGAACTGTCACTGCTACATAACATGGTGTCCTTCCTCTGACAGCAGCTAATTTAGGTGAAAACGTCTAAATGCATTTTGGGCAACAAGGTACCAAGAGAGATAATCGTCACTAAGAAGAGCAGCAGGCACATGGCTCTCGTTGGACGTGGCAAGTGGAATGGCTACTGCCATCCTCTGACCATGAAGGGAAAGCTGACAATGTGGCAAAAGGCCGAGCTGAAGCGCTAACATCTTTGACGGTAGAGAATTGGTCAAATCTACAGCTACTATATTTTTTGACCCTTTCTTATGCAATGCTAAACATTTTCCTTAACCTACTGTTGCCTGGATATTACACTTGCAATTTGTGGGCATGGCTGGGATCGAACCCAGGGCCTTCTGCAGTTTAGGCAGGTGCCCTAGGCCCCAGCTATCCTCCCAGCCCTGCTACTTGAATCTGAAAGTAGCCCAACCAATACACCCAATCTGCAGCATTTCTAAAGAAAAAATACATGAAATGTAACTGTTGCGGTGGCCGGCACTCAGTAAACAGCACTCCCTCAGTCCTAAGTCTTGTGTATTAACATTTTATCCTCAAATCTCTGAGCTCCTACAAGATGGTTAAGTACCAGCAGAATGCTTTAGCCCTACTGGACTCTCACAGGGTGGGGAAACAGACAGAAGCAGGCTGTGATAAGAGCTATAAAGGAAATTACAGCAGGGCCAGGGTGGTAGAGTGGTTTAGGAGACTGAGGAGACTCTCAGCAGGGATCCTCCTATCTAGAGAGACCTGAAGGGAATTTGGAAGCAAGTCTAGCAGAGCCCTGCAAAAGGAAGAG